TACGGGTCAGCATCCACGAGGCGGCAGTGAGTTTGCTGTTGTGGTTTGGTCAAGTTGTTTTATTAAATGTTCACAACGTGGCCAGTCAACTATGAGTTAACAGATGCTGGAGAATCATCAAGAATACTAACTTTGAGTTTTCTATTGAGTAAATCATCAACAATGCTACAAAGCGATTGATTAGTGACGCTGCTACAACTATTATATGAGAAGTGGCTTCAAAAATTTCACAGGAAAATGAGATTAAAAGATACTGGAAAATTTCCACAAGCTTTTTGAAGTCCCCCTTGTAGTTCAGATACAGCAGCTACACTCACTCCTCACTTCTTTAGTTAGGTTGGGAAAAGCAGGCCATTGTGACATCAGATCACAAAATGGAGAATGATTGCATCACAACCTAACTGCCAAATTCCATCATTCTATAACTACCAACGCACTGAGCTGAAACAGTCTTAACCATCATAGCCAGCATTACTCTCACCTAACACTTGAGCAATTGCTACTGCCGGACACGTGGTTAATGTGTAAAAGAGTTACATAGTAGAATTTTTACTATTGCCTTAAATGCAAAATAGCAGACAATAAGGTAGTGAGTTGGCGAGCGAGCAGTTGGTGCATAAAAAAGCTCTTCGGTATTACTCCATCTTCAAAATCAAAGCCAGCTCCCATGGACCTTTCCTCTGCACGCTCCTCCTAGTGTTTTTCTTCTAGGTTGATAAGTGCTTAGGCAACTCAATTTTAGTAATATCAGGGGAAACACAATCATCAAATAGGTCTATTATCTGGTTCCTAGATCACATTATATATTTTAAAAGGGAATCCCGATTTGACTGGGTCAGCCACTTCCTCAAGGAGAAGTGGCTGAAGTAGAAGAAAAAAAGATAAGTAATAAATGTGGAGTTTTTTCCAGAGATATAAAATGTCACTAATTGGAGTTTCTTGGGAGATAATTTTGGGACCAGTCTTAATTTTAAAAAATACATTTTGTGGAAGAGAAATACTTATCTTAAAATTTAGATTTTTGAGT